CATAAAGGTCAAGGGTCCAGCATTTAAGTGTTTTGTCAAAATGAGAATGTATCTTTCTCCCAATAAGCAGCAACCTTTTTATTTAGTAAACCCCAAAGTGTTGGTTATTTTTAAATTGCTGAATGATAAAACCAGAGCCACTTGCTTAAAAAAGGCATAAACTTAGCAGCCAAACGGAGCTGGAGCCTCTGAGCCGTGATACACATGAAAATATAAGGAACACTTAGGCAATATGTTGGGGTTTATAAATCTGTTAGAAAAAAACTATAAAGAGGAAGATTTGAGATGAAGTTTGCAAAGTGCCTGGGAGAGTGCTGGTGCATTCCTGGGATGCGTTAGTAGAGGGTGGGGAGGCAGAAGTAGCAGCAGGAACATCTCAGTGAGGAGCATCAAGGGTAGCGGGGTGGGTGGCAGTGGGTTTGAACAATAAGGCACTGAAGTCAGGTATTTCAAGAAAAAAAATAAGCCATTAGAGTCTAGCAAGCAGTGTTTGCTTAAAGCAGCTGTAAAGAACTACATACTAAATCTCTTGCCATACACCTGGAATGTGATCTGGACAGTATAAAAGTTAAAAAAAAAAAAAAAAAAAGACAAAAACAAAAGCAAACAAAAAACAGCAATCACTTGACTTTGTGGCCTTGTTTTCCTCAGAATCTGTCCACTCAAATTTTTCCTGTTGTTCTTACAATATTTGCTTTGCAGCAAGGAAAAATAATCTATCTCATTAGGTGGATAAAATTTCCAGTCTTTCTCATAGATTTTTTTGTTAGGATTTAGTTGGAGCTTATCTTAAATAATGCATGAATGAGTTATCCAGTCTCACCTCTTCCCCTCTAGCTCTGCTTGCTAAGTACATTTCCCCTTTCTTTCTTGATTTCTTCATGTGCTTGAAATCTCTTCCCCTTGATTATTTTTTCCTTTAATACCATAAGCATAGTTGTTACACCATAGGAATTTCTTGCTGAAGACAGGCTGGAGTTCCTGTATGCACTACTTTTGAGATAATCCCCACTGTGCATGTGGGCATGTGTGTGTGTGTGTGTGTGTGTGTGTGTGTGTGTGTCTGAGAGAGAGACAGACAGACAGACTCTTCCCTGCCCAAGTGGAACTGGCAAGTACTGATAACTCATTTGGTGCCTTACGTGAGCCATGAGGAGGCAGGCTGTCTTTCCAGATGAACTACTATAAGAAGTTGATTTCGGATTCAAGGTCCTACCCTAGAAAGGTTTAGTTCACTTCTACAAATTCACCAGAATGGGCCTCTGTAGTTCTAATTTTGGTGCATTTCCAACAGTGGGGTGAACAACTAACATTTACATGAAGAAGTTCCAGGCCATTTAACAACTAGACAGAATACTTGGGCCAGTCACAGAACAGCCAGGTGTTCTCATACATATGGATTCTCATCAAAATAAATATAGTAATTTGCCAAAGGAGGCCCTGAACAATGATGACAACAAACTTCAATAATGCTTACTGGGCTGTGATGATTAAAAAAAGAAGAAGAAGAAGAGTTAGATAGGCCACACATGTGGACCCACCAAGCCTCAGTCACGCATCTGAAAATAGTTGATTATCACTGGTATTCTAGGAGTGCAGGCTTTCCTATCCATGGGAGTTGGGTAGCCATGTGTTGAAGATCATGACATCTGTGAAGCAGATACAAAGATATACATTACAGATATACATTACAGTAAGTTAGATTCCTTCATAATCCAGTAAAGTGAGTTTTATACAGTTCACCTGTGAATCTTATACACCTATGAAAGTTTGCAGTTGAACATTCATAAGTTGGGAACTAACTGTGTACTGATTTTAGCATACACAGCTTTGTGCAGAGAAGAGACACTGATCACATCCTGAGCTGGTAATTGGACTTAGAACTTTTCTACATATTGTCACTTGAAAGCTTGTTCTCTAGTGATCCATGGAAAAATCATTCCCTATACCTTGTGCCCATAACTGATTGGAAGTGGAGTACCTCCAGGAGCTCAGATACTTTTTACAGGCAGAGTTGGTAGTTCAGCCATAACTTTTAAGCCCAAGATTTATTGTAATTGAAAAGCTGGTTGGCCAAAGTTTAATTTGCCCCACTATCTGTTATGACTTTTTAGTTTGACATACACAATACCATAAAAAGAGCTAAACCCACACAGCTCACGGTGTTGGCATAGATGCATTCAGAATAGTGGCCAATATTTTAACAATTCCTCCTAAAACCTCATTAAGTTGAGGTCAACCTATAAAATCAAATCTAGGAATATGTAACCCAGTTTAATATATTTTATAAAGCTCATTAATTCTGACTTCCCATAGGTTTCCAGGGTAAAATATTGTCAGTGTTTGCAAAAGGAAAACTTAAAGTGAAGCAAACAGGAATATTTACAATAAGTGTGCATATCTTTAGTAAAAAATTTATTTTTAATTAGAGTAGAAGACAGCAAAATTGAAAAAAACATTTTATGGTGACTTTTTTTTTCTTCTTAGATAAAAATCAAAGTTCTTAATCCTATGAATTTACCTTTTTGCCATAATGAATGATTGCTGCAAATTGGGTTGTGGTATTCATCTTTCTGACTTGGCTTATTAAGAATGCTACTTAACCTTTTTATTTTAAAATTCTTAATAGTTATGAAATTATGCTAGATCTATAAACTAACATTTTAGTCATTTGTCCACTGTGCATATAATGTACCCCCACCTCTGCTGTGGATGCATCTTCTGGTCACAGTTGCTTGCTTTTATTCTATCAATACTAAAATCTTTTTATCTTGTACCCTGTTTGGGTCCATGGGCACAACTTCCATCAGATCAGTTGTTTTATGGCACATGAGGTCATTTCAGACCTCGATTTGTGGACTATCCCATACCTTCTTCCTCCTTCTCTCTGCCCTCTTTCCCCTTTGCTTCTCAGCGAAACCTCTTGAGTCCTGTGCAAATGAGCGTCTCTGCCTCCTGATGTCTGTGATCTCCCTCTACGCCTCACATACTTTTGTATCCATTGTTACAACATTTCCTAGCTGACAGACCCAGCAGAGACTTCTTGATCCTTCTCTTGTCCTACCACCCTCCTCTTTGACTCTACACCACAGTATTAAGCCTGCTCTTAACATTCCTGATTCTCCATCCACCCCATGAATGGCTCAAGCTACATAGTCATCTTGCTGAGCTCCTTCCTTTACCTGTCTCTCACATTCTGGGTTCAGAGTCTGTACCTCATACTCCTTCTCTTTCTACTTTCCAAACAGTCATGCCTGTGCTCTTGTCTGCAACATAATTTTAAATGTCATAAGTTTAGATCATTTTCTTGACCTTTAAATATATTCTTTTAATTACCCACAGCAGTGATTTTCAAACGATTTCCAGAGATGCCACAGTGTGCCAGACATGATGACTTTGTTATCTCAGCCCAGGTTCTTATCCTTATATCCATCATCAAATCTATTCCTTTGCATCCTCCACAACCAAATAGAAATTTTATCTTTAGTGAAGTCGCATCCCAGATGTCACTTTTCCACCCCCATCACCACTGTTGAAATGAGGTAGCTTTTCAAAAATCACAGTGCAATAATTAATAGTTGTGGCTTGATACTCACTCTTAGCTTACATTTTTTTTTTTATTAACAAGGACATTGTGCTTATAAAGACTGATACAAAGATATAAGGAGCACATTTCTGTCATCCCAGTGCAGATATTTTCCCCTTTTATCTTCTTAACTCTAACCTTTTGAAAACCTGTTATGTCTTATATATAGTTTAGAAAGTTGTTCAGTCTTTTGTTATTAAATATCTTGTATACAAAGCTATCTTAAGATTGTAATGAATTTACTTAACTCCTCAAACATTTTTTATTAACTAATATTAATTAAGTTGAAATGTTCTTATAGCAATATTGTGGCCATACTCATGTAGTTTACATTTTATTAATTTTGAAACAGTTATTTTTAATTGACCATAGATGTATTCCATTCTACCACTGCAGCACTGATTACCTTTGTTTGTAAAATTTTCTAGGTCTTCTTGTTTTAATTTCATTCCCAATATATAGGAATCATGACAAAAAAAATCAGATACTAAAAAACTCATATAATATACTTAATATTCTTATAAGTAAATAAAGTTATGATCGTATTTACTTTTCAGAAATTATGCAACAATTGTAAAATTGTACAAGACTAATTTGTTTTCACTTACCCAAAAAGATAAACTATTGTCTTATATTTAAAGAGAAACATGATAATCATATATTTAGGAAAAAAAAGATGAGTACTTTGAACTCAGGCGTGATTTTCTTTTTTAAACTTTAAAACTCTAATTAGTACATCCTGACAGATAAAAATTAGTGTAACCTTTGGATGTTTCTAGATGCCTGACAAATAATCATTTTATAGAATTTAAAGGTCTGTGTTTGGATACAAAGTGAGAAAGAGCTTGTCAGAAGTTGATCATGTCAGAATATAAAATACCTCAGTTAGTTTTAAAACAAAATTATTGCTTAAATATATTTAATAATGCTTAACAATTACATCAAATTTGTGGCATTTAAACACATTGAATAATAGTAATTTTTTTTTATTTCTCTACATGAGATGAGATGCAAAATACAAGGCCTATTTTTTATCCTAACTCAGCTGAAGGAGGAGTCAGCGTGGTAGGGTCCATGGGTAACATGAGCTCTGCACACCTCCTCTGTGCCCCTAGATGGGAAGTAAGCACACTGTCTTCATCCTCACTCCAGCCCCCTTCCAGTGAGTTTCTTGGGCTCACTTAGCTCCCCTAGATATTTTGTCCTTCTAAATAATACACCGGCATTTTCTAAAAAGCTTCATAGGGCACTATACAAATGTAAACTGCTGCTCTTTTCCCATGTCTGGAAAAATGGAAAGTACATTTACAACTTGGTTGATTGTTTAATCCAGAGCTTTCTTCCTCTCAGCTTTATCTAGACTAGCAAAATAAAGTAGTCTGCTTTTCCCCATGCTTTCTGTCCTTTCCTGAAGGTACAAAGAAAGAAGAGGCTGCAGAGTGACCTCAAGACTGGATGTCCCTAATGCCCCAGTTTCCTGGGTAACTGCTATCATTAACTTTGGATAATTTATGTACAGTTGTCCGCAGAAACTGACACCTACACACACGTCAAGTTGAGGAGTTCCAAATTATAATCCATTTATATCTAATCCTATACAACGGGTAATATAGAAACATTTAAAATAAGTTTAATCAGACTGTGATAAGCCATTTGGAAAAAGAAAATAGGCATTGAGAAAATACGTACTGAAATCTTATGTGGCCTTGTCTCTCAGGCTGTGTATTTTTTTTAATGGTGCATTTAAGCAAAATGACACAAAAGGAGAGCTTTGCCGCTATAATATTTCTAACTAACATATTTTACTTACTGATTGGTGTTAATCCTGACAAATAAGTGAAATTCAGTAAGATAGTAACCCCCATATGTTAACAATCTCTCAGTTAAATTAAGACAAAGTTTGGTTTTACACTATGATTCTGAAAAACTTTCTCCTAAAATTAGGCCTGTACACCATGTCCTTTGTCCTTGTGAAAGTTACCATTTCTATCCTTTTCTGAAATTCCTGTTCAAACTAGACAGTTTGAGTGCAGCCATGCCCACACATAGGTATTATAGTTAAAGAGTCTTCAAAATTGACTTGGACAAAGACAAATCCATTAAAGAATTTGTGTGTAATCTTGAACGAGATAAAGGAATTCTTCCAAATTGCTTCACTGTCAGTTTCAGTAAAACTAATGCTTGGTCCATAAATAAGGCTAAAGGGCATTATAAATGTGTATAGAACTCTGGATGTCTGATCTGTGTTGGGTCCACCATGAAAATAAATCCAAGGCACATGCGTTGCTTCCCTGTGGAAACTGGTGGTGTATTGCCATATGTGTCCTCGTTATGGGCCTTGCCAGCCATATTGTGGATATAGCAACTTTACAGACTGCACTTTTGGTTTCTCAAGATCTTCTGTATCTTGCTATGAGGTATAAGTAAAATAATACCTTGCTGTTTGTCCTGCAGCACAGACTTTGCTGGGAGTTGGAAAATGCTGTGAGCAGTCCTCAGGGCATTCTTCCCAGAGTTGCTGCTGCCCAGCAGTAAGGCTGGAGGTGGCTTTGTGCTAACCTGAAAAGTAAGACGGCGTGCCAGTTTTGCAGTGTTACATCCACAAGGGTCAAGGTGACAAAGGTAAACTAAGAGGGAAAAGTCTCAGGACCGTTTTCCTGTAAGAGTACTCTAGCAAATTCCTTGAGGTACAGAATGCAGTGTGAAAAGTAGTAACTTTCACTTTCTTCTAGCTGTGCCAGCTGACACCACTGCTCTCCTACTTGGAGATCTAAGAAAGCTCACAAGTAAAGGAAGGCAAATGGTGAAGTGGAGGAAGCGATAGCAGTTTTCAAACCGTTCAGCCATCCTCTCTGTGCTGCAAGGTTCGAGTCTAGACTAGACACTCACAAAAGCGCTGTGCAGACTCTGTGTAAACTGTCGTTTAACTGCCTGTCCTTTAACTGTTCAACAAATATGTATTCAAGTTCTACTGTACGCCGTCCACCACTGGTGCCAGGTAGTGATGAAGTAGACAAGTGCCTTCAGAGAACACCCTGTTTAGTTGAAGGTAGAGACATTAAACAAACACAAATAAATGTATAATTATATCTTTTAAACTCACAGTTTGACAACAGAGAGCAATCACTTTACTGTTTTGTTTTTGAGACCCTTAGAATCATAAATATGATAAACCCAGATAAAGTGTATCAGTCCATATGGGTTTAGTATAACACATACCTGTAGAGTGTAAATATTTGTTTAAAAAATACATAGCAAACCTGGGAACCCAGAGTGATGGCACACACCTTTAATCCCAGCGCTTAGGAGGCTGACATAGGAGAATCATAAGTTCAAAGCCAGCCTGGACCATGCAGCAAGACCCCAATTAAAAAAAAAAACAAAAAACATAGCAAATTTACTATTTATGCAAAGCATTAGACAGAATATTAGGATGTTTATGATTTAAAATTTAGTGTTGAATGAGTGCTTAGACTCAACCAATTGTCATGACTAGGTCATATTTATCTTCCTGTTTCCTTCAACAAATGTCTCCGTAGAAACTAGTAATGGGTCAATTTTCACAATGACCCTTTTCATAATAGACTTAGGTGAGGTTTTTTTCTGCCTCTGGTACTAACTTTTACTAGTCTGACAAGGACTTTAGCTGTATCAACAACTGGAAAAAAAGTGAGGTCTTTTGTAAGCTTGAGGTACTCATAGGCTACTTCAAATATCTAGCATCAGCCTCAGCCTGGCCTGCTAGTTTGAGCCCTAAAAATAAACACTTATTAATCAGCTAATGGCAGCATGGGTGGACCTGCTCTCTAACTGCAGGACCTCAGTCTAACCTCATTCAATAGCTTGTCTTATGTCACCCAAGATGAGGTGGTCTGCAGCCAGGAATGCCTCTAAAAGAAAAGCCAGTCACAAGCTTAACTAAATGTTTAAAATAGCCTGCGTAACTCCTCTCCACACTGACAGATTGCTTTCAGCTTGGTGAAATCAAACCACAGCCCCCACCCCAGTGGCTCTGTGGAGCCATCTTAGAGTCACAAGAGTTTGCAAAGTAAAAGCTGCAGGTTCCCTCTGAGCCTCCAAGTGTAGCTCAGCCTTGTCTGGCTTTTAATCAAAAAACAATCAAAAGGGAGCTCACTCCTGGAAGTCCTTATCTTCATAAAATTCAGCTAATGACTCCTGTTAAGTTAAATAAAGTGGCTGTGTAACTCACTAAGGAAACTGTTGGCCGTTCACCCCGTGCCCGCAGACCCCTCAAAGAATACAAATTGGAGGAACCCCATGGAGCTCGGCTGTGACTGTTTATATACACATATTTTGTCCCAAGAACTCCGGAAAGTTGAGCCGTCTGTATAGTTTTCAGTTTTTTTGAATGGCAGTCCTTTTCTGTGCGGAGTGGCAATGGGGGGAGGGAGGTTTGTTTTAACATATACGTTTCTTTAATGTGTTTACCCCCAAATAAGTGAGCTGCAGTAGATACTTTGGCCCTGCACAGAGTAAATATTTAGCTCACAGATTCCACACAGAAACCTGGCCTGGAATATTTGGGTTTCAAGAAAGAGGCTCGCCCTCAGGCAAAGGGCCGCCCGCTCCACATGTGGTTGAAAGGTGAGCTTTGTACTCGTGCTGTCTCCCCAGGCACTCAGAGCACCTTGCAGTGCCCACCATCCCCATCAGCGCCACCCCACCCAGCTTTCCAGCTGTGCCTCCTGCACCTACCATCTTTATTGGGACTTTATTTTGCGTGGTCCCAGTGCTTTCTCCCCCCACCCTGTCCTGCACGTCTCCCTCCTCCAGCAGCATCTTCCCTTCCTTATCCAGTGAACCCTCACTCAAAACTTGCTCCCAAGATTGCCTCGCCTCTGCCCACAGTCTTCCCTGACCCTTCCAGAGAGAGCTCTGGATTTCCTTCTCTGCAATCCCACAGGGCCTTCTGCACAGCGCTGTCAGGACATTGGTCTCCTCCTTTTACACTAATCTTTTTGCACCCCTGTCTCCCTCGTGCTGGGAATGTCTGGGAAGTAGCTGTGTTCGTGCTGCCTGGGCATCCCCAATGTAGCACCCTTTATAGGAAGACAGAGGATATCACTGTCCTTATTTTGCAGTGAGGAGAAAAGGAAGCTTGCACTGCAGGCCAATAGGAGCGTGGTGCTGGAGGGAGGTAGAACTGGCCAGTCTTGGTGTGTTGGCCACCTCTGTGCTCCTAAACACACCACTTCACCTCTGAGGACCTCAGCTGCCAAGTCAAAATGATGCACTTCGGAGAGCTGGATAGGTCACCATACAATTTGTGGATGTATTTGAAGAACTCTGGAGCATTCTGCCCAGAATCAGCTGTGGAACAGAAGTTTACTGCAGTTTATCCTCTGCTGTGAATACAGGCCTGAGATATTCTGTACTCAGGCGTGATCCTCCAACTATTACTTTAAAAGTAAAGAAAAAAAGAAAAGGTTTCTGTCCTTATCCTCATATTTCTCACTTGCAAATTTCTGAGAAATCAGCTTCATTTAACCTCAAGAAAACACAGCGTTAAGAGCAGCTATAGAAATTAGTTCTGGCACTGTGGTTCCTCCAGCCCCATTACGGGGCCCTTCATCTGTCTCTAATGCTCGCTTCAGTGTCCCCAAAAGTTTTCTGTGTTTGTTTTCACGGAGCCAACCGAAACAGCAGCCAGAGCCATGGTTTCCTGGCTGTTCCTCAGCCCTGACAGTTTTTTCATCTTCTTTCCAGACCCTTTAAATACCAATTCTAAAAAAAACTTTTCTATTACTTTTCTAGTCTTTCTCTTTTTTAATTTTTTAGCGTAGTAAAAAAAAAAAAAAAAAAAAAAAAAACAGTAAATATACCATCCTAACCATTTTGCAGTGTGCAGTTTGAAGTATATCTATATTATTATGCAACAGACCTCGAATTTTTTTATTTTGCAGAACTGAAGCGCTGTACCCCTTAAACACTAATTTCTCCTCCCCCGCCCTTGGAAACTACCTTTCCACTTTCTGTGTCTGTGGTTGGGATCACTTTACATACTTTATAAGAGTGGAAGCCTCTGGTGTTGATCCTTTCATGACTGGCTTCTTTCATTTGGCATAATTTAGCCATTGAGATTGAGACGTGTTATAGTGTATGACAGGGTTTCTCTCTTTTTAAGGCTGGATAATAATTGCATATATGCCACATTTTTAAAATCTGTTCATCCATCAGTAGACATTCACATTGCTTTATTCGTTTTTAGAACTTCGAAACTTTTTTACGAAGAACTGTTGAACTTGGAGGACTTTCTAAAATGCTTATTGTCTCACAGGAAGTGTGTACAGAATGGTACAGTGACATTACTGTGACAGTGGTTTGTGTAGCCATCTTTGTGTGACTTGTGGCCTAAGTGCTGAAATAGCCACAGTTGTGTCATGTCATTAAGAGCAGGAATCTATGCTTAAATCATTGATCTTTCCAGCATTCTCTATCTACTGTCTTTTGAAGTAGACTT